GCTTCACCCCAGTATGCATTTTTTGCAGGTGCATTTTGCTTGTTTTTTCCCAAACAAAAGCTTGCCTTGCTGTAACTTTCCTTCCTTCTGTCCTTTCTCATTGTCTGCATCTCCAAATTGGTTGTTGGTAATAAACCCCCTTTTAGTATCATCTGCAAGTTTCATTAACATACTGATTGCCTCTTTGTCATTAATAAAAACATTAAATTATTATTTCACAGTCATTGTGCACCAACAATGTATTAGGAGTTGTGCAGAATTAAGAAACAGATTCTGCTCTAACTGCAACTTCATTTTCTTGTCCCTAAAATCTTCTCCTCAAACAGCTGAGCACAGTTGAGTTTTTGTCTCTTTCATCTTTTGTGGATGTCACAGGAGTCCTTTTTCAGGCTTTTGTGTGCCAGGTGGAATCAGCACACAACATCTCCAGAGCTCTTCTCTCCTGAGGACGAGTCACGTTGCCTAATTAATCATTTCTTATCTATTGCTCTTATCCCAGATCAAGAATTTATATCCTGCCAATTTCACCTCGTCCCTGGACTCAACCACATAAAGGATCATTTATTTGTTCATTCAAGCAACAAACATTCAATCTCTGTGTGCCCCGATGTGGTAGAGTTTTTCTGAAGGCACCGCACCCTCAAATCTATCTTCCTCAGCTAGTCCAGGTTCTGGAAGGCCAGCCCCTCACCCCACAGGCGACCTGGGGATCTACTTACGGTTCACTCAACGTAGAGGGCTCACTTTGTGCATGAGTCTTCTCAGACGCTCCAGACACAGTTATCTGCTCCTCCTCTGTGACGCTGCTGCCCCCATGGACTCTCACGTAGGGTAGAGGAGTGATTATAGTTATCTGTCTACACCAGAAATCCCTCAGACCCTGAGCCCCGTGAGGACAGGCCAGGAGGCCTTGCTTCTCCTTCATTCTTGCTGGCTTTGGGCTTCTGCAGAGCAGATATCCAGTGAACGGCCCACGGCATCTAAGACAGCTGTGCTGCAGTCATTGTCCACCTTCTGCAGTTGCCCTTAGGGTAAAGGGCTGAGAGGACCTCACCAGTGTTTACCTCTGTGGTTTTCAATCTCATTCTGCCTCTTAATTATACTCTTTCTGACTGTGGAGAATGTCAATTTCCAAGGTGGCCCTTTCCCAGGAAGTGCTTTGCTGTCATAGAAACCCAGTGTGGCAAGGTGCCTGTTGGAAATCCCTAACTCCACACACTGCTGCCCCTGCTCCCTGCTGGGGCCTCCTGCTGTTCAAGTGGCTCTGGGCGTCTTGCTGAGCCCCGTGTGTTTCTCCCAGTTGTGGGGTGGGGTGTGGCACCGTGGTCTACCAGCAATTTGTTACAGGGTAAAATTCTTAAGATGGAGGACTGTGGCAATAACAATACTTTCCATCCTGCAGTAGTTGTCAGAATGAGTTTCTCCTCTAAGCAGGATGTTGATACAGGAAGTTCCGGGTCTGTCCTGCAGTGGGCACTGTTTCCAGACTGATGCTGCCAGATGCCAGGCAAGGGCCTTGTGCAGGAGATGAGGGTGTCCCCTGTGTAGCCCCTAAAAGCACCTGACAGCATGCAGTGTCTGAGGACACCGCTCTCCCTCTCAGGGTTGCCTGGGGCCATTTCTCTCATTCATTCAGCTAGCATGACCATAGGTACAGACAAAGGGTCTTTTGTCCTCAAGTTGGATGTGATCTTGAAACACAGGAACAGAAAGCATGTCGCCCACGCTGCTGAGACACGTCTCCACAAGTCCGTAAGGGTGAATTGGGAGGGAAATGGCAGGGAATCTGCCCAATGGGAAGAACAGGGGCCTAGGAGGGGCCACCTAGGTGCCCAGCTCCACCCTGACACTGTGTCACCTGTGGTAAACCAGCTTTTCTGGGCTACAGGCTCTTAATGATAACAAGAGGGTAAGACTGGAAGGTCTGAGCATTAAACACAACCACAGAAAGCAGCAAGCAAAGGGCTTGGCTCAGATGAGCTTCCAGATTCCTAAGAGGGATTCTTCTAGCTGAAAGGGACACTTTCATTTCTAGACTGTTCTGCAACTCCAGTTGTCGTTGTTTGTTTGTTTAGCAAATGACTATAAATCACTAACCATCCTTCCCAAACACACGCGCGCACACACACGCACACACACACGCACACACACACAGGTGCCTGCACTTCATATAGGTTGTCATACACGTGATAGGAATTTCATTCCTTCCTTTGACGAGATGCAGAAAGTCACTACTATGCGTCCCACAATAGTAGGAGTTGGTTATAAAAATATGAAAATCATCTGCTATTTACAATGTTAATTTCTTAACCCCCTGGACAAAACTAACATGCAGAGCAACTGTCAAGCGCTCTTGAAATGTTCCCTTTTGTATTCTGAGCCTTTCATGGAAGCTGAGATAAGCTGAGACCTGAGGAACCCATAAAGATTGTGCAGATCGGGTCCTTCTCATGCAGTGAGAAGCACATTAAATGTCTACATTCTGAATGATCTTCTCAGCCAATGTTAAAAAGAGAATGAATAAAAATATATATATTTTTAAAAGGCAGATAATTTCCCAGGCAGACAGAGAATGCATTTTGATACTGCTCCGGTATAGTCGCTCCCTTCACAGGAGGGAAAGTGACCAAACCTGCCATCTCACAGGTCCCACAAGGAGACAGGGGCTAGAGGGGACTTCAGGGTCTGGGGTTGGAGCTGTGAGGTATTCTTGTTAGCACCAACGTCCACATTTGTAGTGGAACTGTACAAATGGCCTCTATTGCCAAATGCAACATGCTGTCTTTCACTTGCCATTTATTTCCTCATTTATCCTTAGAAAAATCCCTGAAGCACATTTCATCCTCATTCTGATTCCTGCCCTGCAGTGCAAGTCCAGCCCTTCCTGGCTGCATCAGCTGTCCAGCCCTTCACCCTGCAGCTCTTCTTCCCACTTAATGCCAGCTTCATTCTAGAACATGTACACACCCTCCCTGGACAGTTTCAGACAGAGAAAAGTCAGGAGCAAACAGGAAGCAGAGTCATGATAGCATGATTGTAAGTGGCTGAATCACTCGCTGGTGTAGACAGAGCCCACCTGAGTACTGGACGCTGTCTGTGGTCTCCCTGGTTAGACATCTGCAAACACTAAGGCACAGCACCTGCTATCAACATCAGCACCATTCTCACCCTAAGTTCTGTCATTTCAGTTCCTCCAAAAGTCTTTATTGCTGGTTAAGTGCTGACACAGATATATAATATATATGTATAAATTTTTGGAAACAATTACTACACATGTACGGATTTATTTTTCTTAGAAGAAATTGTTTTTCAGCACAGTGTGTGCTGGGGAAATTCCCACATTCCAGATCAGCACAAAGATTTCATGTCCAGCCTAGTGTGGGGAAGAGCTGCTTCTGGTCTGCAACCTGGACACCACCTCAGGCCCCAGCACCTCTGCTGCCTGCTCTGATTGCCTCACTTGGGCCAGACTTCAGACTGTCCACTCACAGATCTCATCCCCTCTTATGGGGTGAATTGTGCCTCCCCAAACATGATGTGATCCTAACCTCCAGACCCTGCAAACGAGCCCTTATTTGTACAGAGAGTCTTTTCAAGATAATCAAGTGAGATGCGGTCATGAAGGTGAGCTCTAATCCTATATGACTCTGTCCTTATAAAATGGAGGCAGGTCAACAGATATGACAAAACACACGTGATGATAAAGGCAGAGCTTGGGGTGCAGCGTCCTTAGTCCAGGAATCCCAAGGACTGCCAGCATAATGAGGGATGGCAAAGAGCTGTGCAGAATCTTCCTCAGAGCTCTGAGAAGGATGCAGTCTGGCTCATACCTTGATCATGGATGTCCAGTCTTTGGATCCATGAGACAACAAGTATCTATTGTCTTATATGTTCAGTTTGTAGTCATCTGTTTCAAAGCCTTGGGACACCAACACACTCCCCCATCACCTTGGCAATGAAGCTAGAGACCCTGAGTTAGCCTGCTGTGCCCCCTGGTCACATGTGAATAGCTTTTAATACCCCGTGTGCCAGACAGACCAAACCATTCCTCCTGGGTGGACTGGGCCATTCCTCTGAACACCCGTCTTGGTTTTGCTTAGCCTGAGCTTGCTTGTGTGCAGGACCCAGTTCACACATGGCATCCTCTGGACAGCTGTCCCTGACCCCCAGGGCTGCCTGCATGTTGGGTCTGCTGTGTCCCCTAATGTGTGGTGTGTATGCATCTACCACTGCTCTTGTGAAATTCATTATGATAATTGGAGACTTATCTGTCTCACTCTGTGAACTAACAGACCCTTGAGGGCAGCTATTGGGAGTCTTCAGCACCCAGGATGAGCTGCCTGTTGGCAAGATCCACCTCCTTCAGTCTGGACCTTAAGATACAAAGAATGTTTTTAAAATGTAAACACGGGACAAGTAACTCACTGCCTATTCCCTAAGTCTTTAGTTTCATGTTAATGAAGCAGGTATGTACTGCTACGTACCTGTTAATGAACCTAGGAAGCTCAGACAGGGCAAATGAAAATGAAGGTGAAACTCTTATCTTTATGTTACTACAAATTCTCCTATTAAATAAGAAGTGTCAATATTTATCTATTCTACTTTTCTTTTCCCAGCAGAAAAGGGATGCTTACTGATTTTTATGATGCTTCCCATAAAATATGATGGTTGTGTAAGTGCGAGTCCTTGTGGACGGGAGCAGAGCACCCCGCATGTGCTCCAAAGCTGCTTCCCTGGTCTGGCACCCGGGGAAGAGCCAGGAACGGCAGCATGTGTGGACTTCCCAATGATTCAGACAGAAGACCTCAGCACACAGCAGCTACCTTCCCCTGCCCTGCCCACCTCCAAATCCCACCTTTTCAGTCTCCCAGCCAGCAGTCAAATAAGCTTCCACAAAAGATGAAGCCAGGCAGGATTTACAAAAGTCACCTGTATTCCAGCCAAAATATCTTTAAGAGGAAATCCCTTCTGAAGGGAAAAACAGACAACATAAGACACAATACACTTAAAATATGTATTGAAATTACAAATCAAACGCTTCCATAGGATTCCAAAGTACAAAACACAACATTAAAAGGCATTCAAACAGCTCTTTTATACATCACAGTGTTAGTGGCACAAAATGTACTGACATTTCAAAAACACAAACCAAATTTGTTGTTTTTGTTTTACCACCACGTGTCAAATACATAATGCATACATGAGCATGACTCACTCGTGCATATTTCTATACAAGATTAAAATACACCCATAGCAATGTGAGCAACAGACAAAAGAAGGCCAGGCATGTGGCACGTAACTAGCTCTAACTGAAGGCTCCTGGAGTCGTGGAAGACGGGATTACACAAATCAGAGCAAGGGTGAGAGCAGGGGAGTGGGGCTTTAAGTATCTGAAGAGCATGCCTCCCGGTGACGCACCAGGAGTTACATTTAACGCAGGCCCTCTCCTGCTGGGAGTTTTTGGCAATACCAGTCAATAACCTCTTTATTTTACTTGTTTTCATTAGGGCTTGGGTTAATTTTAAGGACTCATGCTTTGGTGTTTTTAAAAGAGACCTCCATGAAGCTTTATACATGCAAATTGTCTTCTCTTGATGATTTCATTGTGGTTTATATATTTATTAATAAATGAGAATCTGAAAAATACATAAAAAGCCCACCCTGGTTGTTTCCCATTCCCTAATTATGTTACCAAGGGAAAATTTTCCCTTCAAGCATCTTAAGTAACTTCTAACTTTTGTAACTAAGTGAAAAGGGTAAACTCGACTTGAGGTTCTTCTGTTTCGCTGGTCATCCCTGTCCCACAGGCCCTGTGTTCTAACCAGAATTGGCCTTGGTCCTAATGGGTTTGATGGAAGAATAAGCTGGAAGGATAACTTGTTCCTTCCTCCGCAGCTCTTCCTGGGCATGGAGGGGCAGCATACCTTCAGAGAGCAGTCCATTCACGCACTCAGAGGTTCTGCTCAGACCGTCAGTCGGCCTCTGCCATGGGCATGTCCCTGGAAAGGCCATGTCTGCAAGGCATTGGCCACGTGTGATGTGGTGAAGCTAGTGGGCTTCCCGCTGCTGGGCAGAGCCAAACAGAGAGGTCAGGCATGTCCAGCAAAACCTCCTCATATGGTCAGTTACCAAAGGGCTGCAGATAAGCTACAAGTCCATCGTGTCCTGAATGGCCACCCCCAGATAGTAGGCCAGCAACCACGGCCTTCTCCTCCCCCCAAGATTAAAAAGCCTCTGAATGAGTGTCATATGCTCTCATGGCACTCAAGTGAAAGCCGTCTGAAAAGGTGCATGGCCATTTCCAATTAAGAAGAATCCTGCTGAGTAAGAGGGAGTCCACCTGCCAACTGCAGAGTCTCCCATGGGGAGTGACGGCCAGACCCAAGTTCCAGTGGAGGGGCCCGCCTTATGCTCTGTCACCGCAGAGATGGATGCAGCATTCTTCACCAACAGAATAGGAGTCTATACAATGGATACAAGTGTGTATGTGTTCTCAGTGTGGTCTTGCTGGTGTGTATAGAGGGAACAGATGGTTGTAATTTTATTACTCAAACTGAGGCATGTGGATGCAAAAAACTCAGAGTAAGAAAGTGACCCCGTCTGGCCCTAGAATCCCTGTGGCCTCCACCTGGGCCAACCTCGTGCTTGTGAACTGCGCTGCTGTAGGTGAGGCACGAGGATGGTGGGGGCCGGAGACTCTCCCAAGGTGGAAGAACAACAGCCCATCCCTCTAGGGATAAGTGGATCTGAGCTCTCACCCCAGGGATGCAGAAACAGCAGCCACATGGACTCCTGCAAAGGGCTGCGGCAAGTACAGGCAGGAGGGACTGGGGTGCAGCAGAGGTCGGTGCTTGGACCTGCCATCTGCACTGGGCATTTTAAGGGGCACTGGCTAAATCGTGTACCCACAGATGGAGGCTGAGGGCTCAAGCCCAGGCCACTGACTCAGAGTTGTCACCCCTCCAGAAAACCCATTCTACCAGCTGATGCCACGGCAGTGCCTGAGGACTGGAGACACTCCCAGCCCTGTGAGGGCTCGGTCTTCCTCAGAGACAGGCCCAGGCCGGTTCTCACTTAGTGACGGAACTTGCAAGTTGCAATTACACAGAGAACTTGGTGAACGTCACTCTGACGCTGATTTTCTAATTGGCTTCAGTTTCATAAAGAAAATCAATGCTAGAGATGAAGAGTGAGGCAACCCTGTTCCTCTAATCTAGTCAGTGCTAGGAAAAGAAAGAAGTTTCTGCACAGGGAAGGTCAACCGTCCCTGCGCCCAACACACACACTCAGCTGTCAGACACGCGCACAAGGGCCACACGGCAGAAACACGCCTGCGACCAGCAAGGAACTGAAATAACGGGATTTGGGTCCTGTTTCGCTTCTTTGTAGAATACTTGGTAAATTTTTAAAAACTCCACTGTGATAAATCTACAATGTTTGCCTTTTTGCTATTTTTAGAAGTTCTACGTTCAATGCAGTTTACTCTTTAAAAGTACCTAAGGCTTTCAGGGTCAATTCTCCTTAAAGAAAACACTTTCACATTCCCTGCTTCTCAGAGTCGGGTGATGGGGCAATACGTTGTCTTCTGATTGATCCGTGCTTCCTGCTGCCAAGGGAACTGTCAGTCACATGCAGCTCTGTAGAAGACCAAGTGGTAAATCCTCACATCGAAATCACCAAGTAAAGGGAAAAGGTTTTTCCCAGCAAGGGCAAAATGGTTAGTGACAGGACTTGCAACTGTGTAAGATATATGATTATTTAAAATAACTGAAGCATTTTAAAAAATGTAAAAAATCCAGGAAGCTCGTCCCCAGCCCCTGGGAGTCCTGCAGCTTCTGCCGAGGCCCCGGCTCTGAGGATCACAGCACTGTTATCTCCTCACTGTCTACCCGAAGACTGGGGCCAGAGGCCAAACCATAGTAATTCCACGTAGGGCCACTTCTGAGTAAAACCATTGGTTTGAAGACAATAAAAGGTTATTTGTTGCCAACTAGATGAGAAGGGATAAGCCCTGTGAGTGGAGTTGAATCACCAAAAGGAGAGGAAAAAAAAAAAGGCAAATCTAATGGAGCTGTCCCTTTAAATATGGCAACATTTTCCAGGCAATGCAGTGATGTAGGAACCACATTGATAACAGCATGTAGCTTACAGCGTTCAAAAAGTTATTACAACAAGTTTCAAGAAAAAACACAGAGTGCATAAGGCTTTCTAAATCTCCTGAAAAGTCATTTAACTATAACTTCTTAAAATGCACATTTCAAGAAAGGCATAGGATGGTTTATATGCACCTTGTTGATTTTCACTATTCAGTTGGGGGAAAAAATGCCTTCTAAAAAGGATTTTCCTAAATGCCACTAGTAATAAAAATGGTTGTCATAAACAGAGCGCTTTGCTCAAGTTGGAATGAACGGTCGGGTTCTGTCTCAAGAGGGATGCAGTCCTCCAAAGACCTCCCTCAACAACATGGCGACATCTGGAAACCGAGCAAGGAATGAAGGATGTGTTGTATGAGAAAGTCTCTTAAGCCACAGCCAGACATTCCCAGTCTATGGCCACAGAGAGAAAACCACCTGGTGTGCTTCTGACAGCACCTCCCTGTCGTCTGCAGAGACTGATCTGGATTGTGCCTTGGCCATGCCTGCCTCGCCTGCTCCTGGGGGGGCTGCCCCTGGGGCCTATGCAGACATTGTGACATCGTCCCTGAAATCGCGGCATCCAGCCTGACACTGTGAAGCTCAATGGGGCACGTAAGGCAAGAAAGATGTTTAGTGAAGGGGACGGGACAGCGGGGCAGGGTGGGGAGAGCCACACTTCCCGGAGGGGAGGCAGGGTCTCGTTCCAGCATGGTGCCTTCCTCTAGGTAGGCAATGGGTCGTCATCGCCTTTACTGCACTTGCACTTGCAGCAAAGTACAAACGGGGTCGCCAGGAGCAGGAAAGGCGAGGCCACCAAGAGCAAGAGCCCAAATCCAGCAAAAATGCCCACGACCTAGGAGGAGGAAACAAAGGAATAGAAGTAAGAAGGGCTGGTCTGTACATTCCAAAGCTAAAGAGTGGCTGACTTCCCCATCTGTCATCCATCCATCCACCCACCTATCTAACCATCATCTACCCATTCGTCCAGCCACCCAGCCACCTATCCATCTACCTGTCCATCCAACCACCATCCACCCATCCATCTCTTCCATCCATACATCTACCCACCCATCCATCCAACTACCTTCCACCCATCCAACCCTCTAACCAACATCCACCCACCCATACATCTACCCACACATCCCACCTACCCACCCACCCATTTATCCACCTACCCACCCACCCATCTATTTATCATTTATCAACCTACCCACCTATCCACCCAACATCCACCCACCCATACATCTACCCACTCATCCCACCTACCCACCCACCCATCCCTCCGTATATCTACCCACCCATCCCTCCGTATATCTACCCACCCATCTATTCATCATTTATCAACCTACCCACCTATCCACCCAACATTCACCCACCCATCCCTCCATATATCTACCCACCCATCTATTCATTCCGTCCATTAACCATCATCTATCTATCCACCCATCTACCCACCCACCCATCTAACTACATCACACATACACCCATCCATCCACCCATATTTTGCCTTTATTTTCCCCTCCTTTGTCTCTTCCCCTCCCTCCCCCTTTCCACTTAACCACCCAACACTGACATATCTACATATGCAATTAGCTAACACTTTCATCTGAGCAACCCCCCCTGAGCTAGACACTGTGTTAGATATTGAACATATAGGCACATAAGATCTTGGCCCTCAAGCAGCCTTCTGGTGGAAAGAGACCAAGATTTAATCAACTGACAACAATACATTTTACAGAAACTGCCACCGGGTTCCAGGTGCCAAGGGACAATACCTACACTTGCTCCCTCCCTGGGGAAAGGTGGGTGTCCTAGAGCAGACAGCTGAGATTATAAGGACGGGGCAGTAGTGAGTGTGCAAGAAAGACTGGTGTCCAGCACTGCCCATGAGGGCATGGAAGGGGCTCCACCCTCATCCCTCCTAGAGTTTAATGCCTAGCACTGGCTGTTATATATTTTGATTTTTGTTTTAAAACATGTTTATCCCTAGTATGAATAAATGCCAGAAGAATTAAGCCCCAAACATAGACATGTTGTCACCTGGTCAGGCAGATGACATGGGGTTTGCTTTTTGACTGGCCTCTTGTGTCAGCCCTGTCCCTCCTAGGTGCTGCCGGTGAAACAAATAAATAAAGTGTATATTATCAAAAAAAAAAAAAAAAGAAGGAAATCTAAAATAGTTTGGGAGCTTCTGCTTAAAAAACCACAAATCATAAAAGAAGCGTTAGATACCCTCAATTCCATAAAATAGACAAAGTTTGGTTTATCAGAACTCTTAAAATTGAACATATGAAGGAGTTACAACCGGGAGAAGATACCACCTGTCTGCTGATGATTCAGAACACATTCCTCCCCTGGGCACCTAGGCAGTCCCAACTACCCAGAGCACAATGTCAGTCTCCAGTGGGACAGGAGACAGCTCTCCTCTGCAGCCACAACCAGGTCGAAATCCTTGACTGAATGCTCCCACGCGTGGCCAGTGGGACAGCATCTCAGCCGCCCCTCAGAGCAGCCTGTCTCTACCTTTGCATGCTGTTTGATAAGTTGGGTCACCCAACCTATGGTGAACTGGTGACACGTGAATGCAAATATCTCCAGGGGAAGGCAGCCAGCAGTAAAGACTGAGATGGGAAATGGTGCCTCAAAACGGAAGTACTCACTCAGGAAGCATGCTATGACATGTGGCAGGCCCAAAGTACAGAATGTAGGTGACAGAGAGATAGACTACAGGCTCAGGGTCCAGAGAGAAGCACTAGACCACACCACGTCCTTCTTACTGGCAAACCCTGAGAGCCAAGAGAACAGTGTTTCTTAACCTGAGTTTCTTAATGTGAGTGCACCGTGGGCGCAGAACACGCTCTTGCAAACCCTCGTGCGTCCTCCAGCACAGGCCAGCCCTGCTCTCAAAACCAACGTCCAGTATGCTCACAGGTGAGACAAAGAGAAATGACAACATTACAGACTTCCCCAGAGTTCTTCTACAAAACAGCATTCGAAGGCTTGGAAAAAATAAAACAAAATCAAAGACATGGAAAGGGGAATGGAACATGATTACTGTACTGAAACTTGGCATCTGGACATGGCACAAATAAGCAGACAATCGTGAAATTGTACTTGATACCCGGATTATCACCAGTCCGATTTCCTCATTTCACAGCTGCAAAATCTATGGCCAGAGAAGTCATCCAACAGCCAGGCCAGGGGTGGTTGCTCACACTTATAATCCCAGCACTATGGGAGGCCAAGGCAAGTGGACTGCTTGAGCTCAGGAGTCCAAGACCATCCCGAGCAAGAGTGGAGTTCAGGACCAGCCTGAGCAAGAGTGAGACCCCTGTTTCTACTAAAAACAGATAAAGTAGCCAGATGTGGTGCTTAAGTGCCTGTAGTCCCAGCTACTTGAGGAGGCTGAGGCAAGAGGATTGCTCAAGTCCGAGAGTTTGAGATTGCTGTGAGCTATGACACCATGACACTCTACCCAGGGCACCAGAATGAGACTCTATCTCAAAAAACCAAACAAACAGAAAAACAAACAAACAAAAAAAACCCCAGAAAAACCCACAAACAGACAGAGCTGGACATTCTAACATAAGCATAGGAGACAGCTTGTGCATATCGAGAGCTGCAGCTGCTCAGAGCTCCCAGCACCTGGGTGAGCCCCTCAGCTCAGTCCCAGAAGACACCACAGGGCCCCCCTTGCACAAGTACAGAAAATGGGTAATCAGCTGGCCATCCCACATGCCATCCTTTGGCTAAAAATGAGTTCTGCCCTTTATTTGAGATGGACCCAGGGCTTAGACAGTTTCCCTCACCCCAAGAAGGGGAGAGCTGGCTTTGGGTAGGACTTTCCCTTGTCAGATGCTGTTGGCATCCCAGAGCGCTGGGATTATAAGCTCGAGCAACCACCCCTGGCCTGGCTGTGGGATGGCTTCACTGGAGCCCTGGGTAGAGGGCCATGGTTTCCCTGCTTTACTCTAGGGAAAAAGAAATACTCCTTTTAACTCCTCTGCATGACGGCTGATCTCTGGGACAGTGACAGGAAAAGAGAGGCCAACACTTCCCAGGGATCCTGTTTTTGTAAATGTTCAGGAGGCAGATAGCGAGGGAGTGGGTGACACACACTGGTGACCTCGGAGCAGCCGTGCATGGACCTCCCTGCACACCACGGTGCAGCCTTCACGGCCACTTGGCTGTTTCACTTTCCTACTTGTTTCAGCACATGGCCTTGCTGGATGGAATAAAACTATGTCACTTGGGATAAAAGAAATTGTACAAAACCTTTACACAGAAAGACACAATCTATCATTCATAGCACACTATCTTCCCAGACAGGTCCATCGACAGTGTGCTAAGAGGTCTGTGGTGTATAAAACTTTTAATCCCATAGAGGTAATGACAGCAGCCTGCAATCATCTCAGGGAGGCACGCTGAAATTCCCCTACATCTCTGGGGACGATTTTACAGAACTTCACGTGCAAATACAGGAAGAGCGGGCGACCAGGAAGCTCGGACCCCAGCGGCTCACACTGAGAGAGCACAGCCCCCACACCAGGAATCACAGGGCCATATTTAAGGTATATTTTTGAGCACGATAGATGTCTAAGAGAAGCAAAGCCCCAAATGATGGAGAGGTGTTTCCCCAGGGAGCTCACGAAACCCAGCTCCGGCAAGGGGTTCTATGCCAAGCACCACCTGTGTCAGAAGACAGCACTCTTGACCAGCTCACGGGATGTTAAAGCCACGTGGGGGGTCACGGTTAGGACTTTAGAGATCAGAACAGGATATGCACAAGCACACAGCAAGGATGTGGACTTATGCCGGGGGACATAGGTATTTGTATGGGCCCTAAAGTGCCCTGTACGTCCACCTAGGGGCCACAAGCAGTCAAGCATAGTTCAACAGTTGAAGCTCAGCACCTACTGTGGGCTGAACATAGGTAAGAGGGGGTGCGTAGGCGGGGCTGAAGCAGAGCCTGAAAAATGGGTGGAAGGATGTGGGCTGGGAGGGAGGGGACCAGAGGGAGCAGGGGAGTGGTGGGAAGGAAGAGGGAGGACAGCGGCACCTCTGCAGGGCTCCCTGAGGGGCAGGGCTGGCGAGGTCTGCTCTGCAGAGGGGAGACTGAGGGCTACAGAGGTTACAAAGGGGTCTCTAGACCACTTCTGTGCACTGTGAATGGGACATACCTTGGCCAGGAGATGTGACCAGAGAGGGGTGGGGCCCTGCCGGAGGGAAGGCTCCTCCCTCATAACCGACTTCATGGAAGACATGACGTCAGACTGGGCACAGAGGGGGCAGAATTCAGATGTGCAGAGCTGAGTGGGCACAGGAAAGGTAGGGAGAGTGCCATGAAGACACAGCAGTCCCAGTGGCAGGCACAGCAGAGAGCAGGGCAAGCACGGTGCCACAGCAAGGCCAGAGGAGAAGGGGGAGACATATGCCAAGACTGGGTCAGGCTGTCCCTGGCTCCCAGAGGACAGCGCCCTGGCCAGCAGCCAGGGTCACCCACCAGCCACACGGTGGGAGAGCAAGCAGCCTTCAGGGAACTTCCGCCCAGCCGTGGGTCTCCCAGCAAATGCCACTTTGGTTTTGGCAGTTTCATTCTGCCGAGTCCTGTCCACACCACAGATCCCAGAGCAAAGTCTGTGTGGGGATGTGAGGCCAGTTACACCAGGAGGCTGGTCACCAGCAATAGGTGGCCAGAGTCCTCAGGTGAGTTGCTCTCTCCCACCTGAACTCAATTTCCCTGAGTTAAGTGACAGATTTGGACAATGTCACTGCCAGTTTCTCACCCTTCTCTGCCTTTTATCTCCTGCCAAGGAGCTTCCACTTACCTAGGGCTATGCAAATACCCCCGAGATCACCCACCAGGGCAAGTACAAATGAGGGATATAGCCCCTCACAGCTTCTACGCTATGTAGGGATGGGGTGCAGCTGCTGCTATGGGTCCCCCCAAATGCTGTGCCGAAGTTGTAACCCCTCAGAACCCCAGAATATGATTTTAATTGAAAGCAGAGGTAATTAAGGCAAATGAGGTTTTAGGTGGGCTTTAATCCAACACAGTAAGTGTCCTTAGACACGGGGAATGTGGGCAGACAGAACACACAGAGAGGAACCACGTGAAGACACAGGGAAGAGACAGGCACCTGAGGAAGGCCTAAAGTGATGACCCACAGTCCTGGATGTCCATGGCTGCTGGCAAGCCCAGGGGCAGGGAGAGGAAGGAAGGACTGCACAGGCCTGGGAGAGAACTCTGCCTCCAGAATGAATTCCCTGTCTTTGTCCCAAGCTACGTGGCCTGCAGTGCATGCTGAGGCAGCCGGAGCAGGCTCCCAGGGATGCGGGCAGGGCGGGGCCAGTGCTGTGCCTACCCAGCCAAGGGACAGAGCTCCCTGCAGCTCGGACCAGTCCTCGAGCTCTGAGGCCAGCAGATGACGGGCCTGCAGCAACTCTTGCCCGAGTCTGCTCTGAACACAGCTTTACTGAGGTGCGACCCGCACACCTCACAGCTCTGCATTCAAGTGTACAGATTCATCAGTGGACAGCGTATTCACTGAGGCGCACAACCTACCACCTGCTTTGCAAATGGCTTACCGGAACCGTGGTAACCCTCGGACATGCTGACAATGGCCACGTCTGGGCTACCAGGAATTGACAACGCAGCAGAGTTAGGGTCTGAGAGGCCAAGGACAGGTCAAGGAAGTTTACTGCCTAGCCCCTGCTAAGAACAGGCTTCACCACCAGAGCTGCTTGGGAGGGTGTACAGCAGTGGCTCTCAACCTTCCTAATGCTGCGGCCCTTTAACGCAGTTCCTGTGAGTCGCAACCCACAGGTTGAGATCCATTGGTGTAGAGGAACCAACGCAGGTGTGGTGGGCTGAAGTCTCTGCCTGGCCCTGCACAGGATCCTCTCTTGAAGGTGGGGCTGACATGGGAAAAGCACCCTGAGTGCATCCTGGGCTCAAACCTCCAAGCCTCCTGCACAAGCAGCCAGGGAGTGTTGGCAGAGGAGCCCTTCTTCCAGCTAACCCTGTCGGTGGTTTCCCACTTCACCAGAACAAGATCCAAACCTCTTTCCATGGCCTGCAAAGCCCTGTGGGATCTGCCCCTGACATTGCCTCTGGCCATCCCCCACAGTCTGGTTCTACTTTGCCACAAGGGCCTTCATCCAAGGCTCAATCCACTCTGCCCTCAGCTCTGTGCCCAGCCCTGCCCACCTCACCCGTGCTCAGCTGCGTGCACCTCCCCTAGGGGCCTTCCTGACCTCTGGGTCTCACAGGTCCTGCACAG